ATTGGCTTTAATAACGTCATCATAAGGCTTTTCTTTAGAAATATAGTCTTATCTCTAAGTTCTATCTGGAGGTTTGTAGAGGTTTATTAATTAAGTTTAGGTTGGAATTCACCATGGACTCACATCAGTTGCAGGGGCATTGGAAACCTGAGAGCACTGAACAGCTGTTTCGTCCTAGTGTGTGACTCCTCAGCAGTGCGTACCTATGACCCCACCGGAGATCGAACCCGGGACCTTCAGGTCCCGTGGCCAGCACGTTACCATTGAGCCACTGGGTCGGAATCAAATGGTCCACAAGCCTCCAAAGACCTTCAGATAGAATTAATCTGAAACTCGTTGGCGACTAGCTTCAAGAGGTGATTCCTGAAGTTCGAATGAGAAGTCGTGACCGGTGTAGTCAACCAAGTCGAAAGTGAAGACAGTTACTCAGTGATGACATTGGATGTAGGTTACTCTATATTGTGAACTGACAGAAGTAAGAAATGTGGACTATCAGATTCCCACCCAGTGGATTAATGATGACGTGCTGGTCACGGAACCTGAAGGTCCTTGGTTCGGTCCTCGGCGGGATCACGGGTGCGCACCGCTGAGGAGACTCTTATCTGTAATTTGTCTAGTAGGTGTTTTTATCAATCACAAACAGTTACCAAGAGGGAAGAAAAACGAAACAGACATAGTCTATTTTATTTTCCTACAATATTTATCATTTAGAATGCTAGTTATTGCTTCGTAAAATATACTGAATAACTCACAAATTACGGATGTTATTTTGATGGTTTAGCCGCTAAGCATTCAATGTCTTTCTGAACAATATTGTCAACCCTACGTTTACTATTATATCAGCTTCATAATCTAGGTCTCATATATCCTGGAAAATGTATTAGCAATTGAGCACCTACCGAAGCATATCAAACCACCCACTTTTCTCTATTCATTTTCTTTGTTTAAATGAGATAGGATACAGTTAACAGTTACGAAATTGTGCAAAAAATTTCAGGCTTCTAGTGTTGTAGCTATCTTAGTCTTTTGCTACAATCTTTCAGTAGGATAATGTTATTCGCATACCCAGGGTCTCCTGGGATTTCTGATATGATCGTGAACAGTTGCATAAGTATCACGTACCTGATGTGATCCTTGATTGGATCCTTTGCATAAATTGTCTTCCAGTATTTTGAAAAAGTTGAACAGCATTATGTACTTCCCAAAACGTAAGAGTGGGGATCAAGCACTACTCCTAAGTATTATTCAATAGTAAACAGGTTTACTTGGTGCGTAAGACAACAATATATTACTATTTACCGCATGACACGATGGGCGCGATAGATTGCTCTATAACTTTCTTGCTTTCCCTTTGTGTCTCAGCAGACTTTTATCAGTCATTTTAGCAGTAATAGAATTTTTTACTAACATGTTACTGATATTGGATCATTCCTATTCACTATGTTCTACCTCGAGTCACCTTTCACCAAATTGTGGCAGTTTGGTGCATTCTTGCTTGCCAAAAGTAATTTTTATTTCAGGTCTTACTATTATTTACTATGTCCTTAGAAATGGCTTGAAAGAATGCAAATCTTTTAGTTTGATGTGCATTCCAAAAATAACTACCATTTGTGGTGTTCTTATGAAATAACTAAAATGAGCCAATTCTAGCATATTTTAATTTATCCAATGTACCTCTACTTCAAGCTTTAAGTTACTGTGTAATGGCCCGCCTTCCGCTCGATTACTGTCAGAATGCACATACTACAACTACATAGGAGGATTATGAAAAGAAATAGATATGCTAATTCTCTTTGGATATTTTTCACGCAAACCAATTAAGAGTGTTCCGTAATAATCACTTCACAGTGGTTCCAAAATCGAACCTGTGCTCAGTGTTTAGGTGATTATGTGGGATGAAACTTTGTGGAATAGTTTAGTCCCATAAATAATTTCAATGGTCATTCAGCATTTTTGTTTTTTCGTTTGATGATTTTCCTGGTGTATAACAGTCGAAGAAGCTTTATCAGCTGTTCCATAAAACTGGCATATATAGTGTTTTATAAAACAATGTACTTACCAATAAGCTTTAAAAAAATATATTCTAATTGTTTCAGTGATAACAGTGATAATAACTGATAAAAATAACAGAATTATGCATTAGAAGTTATTCACTTTATCCCACCATTTATGTGCATGCATTCGTGTGTTCACATATATATGATGCTGTGTAACCGCGTGTAAATAAGTTTACTCATAAATCAAAATTAATAAAACGGAGCTTCTTCTTTTCATTAACAGAAAGGAAAACCAACTTATAACAGAATGTACTAACTCAAAGTACTGAAAACTGCTTTATTGTACTCATTCAGAAGTGCGAAAACAAATAAATAAACACTTCTTTACAGTTGAAAGACAATGGTGTCTTGATAACCAAAATGTATTCGTCTAAGTTTTTTTCTATTTCAAAGAAAATCTGTACTCTTAGAATTGTTCTCAAATTCTTTGGTTTGCGATTGGATGCAAATACTAAGTAGGAAGTCTGAAATTCATTTTTGAAAGGAATATGATGAACAAGTTGAAATTAATTAGTGAGTGTATCTGTAACCTCCAAGATCAAAAATGAAAACAATTTCTTTCTCTGTTTCAAACCACAAAAAAAGTGGAGATTTTCATTCGTTTTATTTTATAGTTCCCTTTAACCTTGATTCACGACTGAGAGTTATCTGGAGAGAATAACATTTTTTATTCAAGATTAATCAAGTCAGTCCCTTTTTTACTGCATTTCACAAATCTACTTGTATCCATCTATGTGTTACCAACTAACCTAAATAACTTGACCGTTTATGCAGATAATTCTCTGGTGAATTAATCCATACTGATACGAATTTTTGTAAACTTTTTATTGGTTTAGGCGAGTTAAGAAATGTAGGCATTTCATTCACAGGTTCAATATATCTGCACATTGTCTTTTGAATGGGATTTAATACACCCGACAGTTTAGATGATTTTAAACTTGTTATACCGGATATCGGGAAATTTTTAACAGATTCACCCAGTGATCTCAGAGTTTTAAAATCGTTTTGTTTAGGCTTTATATCATATTTATATTTAAGTGTTTTAAAACGCGATAGATGGTTTAAGGAAAAATTATTTGATGGTTGTCTTCCACTGTGATGTCCATTACTTTGTAGTGTATTTGATAGTGTTTTACGTTGACTTAAACAAATATTATTCAAATACGAATTATCATTTGGTTACTAGATAAAGATAAGGATAGCCGTGGCTTTTATAGGGCATTAATCATGAAATCTTTGAAAGCTTTAGTTGTGCAGGCAACTGAAGCCTTTTCAAGTTAGGGCCATTGAAACGTCAAATAAAACGAGTCAATATCAGTGCACAATTTATCTCACCTTATTCATCGAATATTTTACATTTTTACAACTATCTTTATCACTCACCTCGTGTTTATTTAACTATTTTTCCAAGTTTCGTTTATCTTAGATGTGGAATTCCAAGGGCCATGTTTCTTATGTCAGCTTCTGCAGTGTTATTTCAGGAAGAAAAGGGATAACGAGTCTTAGGGATTAGATTTCTAAGCTTATTGCTTGTGCCATTTTCTGAGTTTTATAATACATGTGCAAGTGTTTCGACTGCCACAATTTAGTGTTTTTACTAAATAGTTTCTGTTGCACAATTGTTAAGGTCGGTTATATATTTTAGGGAGAAACATGTCTGACTGTTACACTGAGAAGTCAGTGACTATAGTCAAGAGTCTTAAAGGGTTTCTCAATATGAAATTATTATCTTGAAGTTTTTTCCTCCTGTTACACATATCATTTATCCACTTAACACAACTTGTCAAAAAAAATACTTCCAATATTCAATATAAGGTGAACAAACCTGTGTAGTAGATGACTGGATCCAGCCACATGGTCAGTAAACTTAACTTTGACAACCACTTATCCTGTGACCCAATAACATCTAAAATAAATTCCTTGGGATCATTCGAGTGGATCAGTGGCGGCTGTATTTCCAAAGTATATTTAACTTTAGTCAAATGGTTTTCAGATTTGGCCGTTTTCGAATGACTTTTTTTGTTTTTACGAACTGTCTCTGAAAAAAAGGTGATGGGTTAAAAATTACCTCTTCGAGAATATTAATATATATTAAGAGAGAATTTTCCAGAACTGTTCTACTATCTTTAGAACAGACCGAAAACGTTTCTGGAAAATATGAATTCCGAGAGAATGTTGCCGATGAAATTAATTGTGGGTAAGTACTATATTGCAAAACCAATCAGAATTATGTAAATAACTTGTTACTTCTTCACTGAGTATGTGCCGTGCCTGCTTAAGCAATGTGATGTCAACCTATTTCAGCAATACATAAAAGTAATTATGTTTCAAATTCTGGCTAAAGCAGCTAATAATACATTTGCATGATTTATTCACAAATCGGATAACGATAGGTTACGTTTACCAATGTTAATACTCATGCGTTTGCACGAAAAAAAGATGCAGTTGATTTTTTTGTTATTATTATCATGGAGTCTATCATTTTTACTAATTAGTGCATCCATGAGTCGTTTTTGTCATAACTACAGTGGCAGAAGATCAATGGTATACACATTTAGCTGTTTATCCTGTAAAAATGTATGGTAATAGTGTGTTTGTAGCATATTTATAACAGTGCTAGGTCACTGAAAACATAAGAGACAAACAAAAACTTATGAAATAACCAATAGTCCTTAAATTTAATGTGTTTTTTATCCGTTTACAGACTCAGAAATTACATCATCGAGACATTTTCACTTGAAGTCACTAGGCCTATGAATATCACTCACTATGTGCCTTCCTTCCTCATTTGTCATGCCTAGATAAGCTTATGCTGAGGCGATTTTCAGCAGTAAGAAACACTGTTCAGTTGTCTAATACATTATTTAGGCACTTATTTTCTAGAATTTTGTGGATTACTTTGCAAATATTTCTTACAAATAACGTATTGTACTTCTCTGCAGTTCAAGTTTCATCTTTGCATACGATTAAGCTATATGTGACAGCAGTCAAGTTATATTTTGTACTTTTTCGTACTGCCAACACTTTTAACTGAATCGTAAAAAAGAAAATAAAACTTCCCATTGTATTGAATTGGAAAACAAAGTTTGCCGAATGTACCGAAGCTACGATAAATGTATAATTCATTAGTTGTATAATTTATGCTAGTATTTGTGGTAGAACCGAAAATTGTACCGTCCTTTAAATGACCATTCAGAATCAAATTCATTACTTGCTTATTTATGGGCGGTGAAGCTTTAGAAATCCTCGGTGTTCTATGTCTACCTAAGCTAGTATAGAATTGGCTAAGATTTAAAGGCTTTGGATCTAAAAATGATAATTCTCTCAATGGGTAGGAAGATAATGTCATAGATATTTACTGCGAATTTGCAGCTAGGAACACAATTAACATAGGTGCTAGTGTCCTCAATGCTGGATGTAAAGAGCTAAGAATAAATTTTAAGGATTACCGCTTGAGCACTAGATCATAAAACAGCTTCAGTTCTACAGAAGATTAATAGCTGCCCGAACTGCCCAGTGATAACGTTGATGGCTGCAACTCTGAGTGATGAGGCCTGTAGTTTCGAAGGGATATAAATTCCCTTGAGTTTCACATACTCCTTGTTGACAATTATCAACAAGCTCGAAACCTAGATTCGGGACTTCCGGGCGATTACCTCTAACCAAATGAAAAAGTTGAATTTCTCTGTGTCTTTTCCGTTTGTATAGCCTAATGAAGATTTTGAATCTGTTTAAAAACAAGTAGCGAGGTTTCGAAAGTTGGAGATAGGGTTATTATTTGCTATTGGGATGGACATCTCAATTATAAACTACATAAATCGAGCATAATATACATGGTCGAAAAATGCAATGATGAACTGAGGAGTTCTTCACCAATCATTCTTTCAATGAAATACATGGAAAGCCTTACAGATGCGATGACTAAGACAAAATATGGTGTGCAACTTACTTTTTCATTTCAACGAATTTAAACTTAATGGAAGTTATATATTTAACGGCTCGATAGTAAAGCGGACAGGTCAAGGTCACTTAGTAGTGAGTAGTTCAAGGAAGCCATAACTTTTTGATTCTATCGAATTTACTTTAATAGCGATTTCTTCATAAAATACAGAGTTCTATTCATTGCAAAATTCTGAATCATTCGTGTATACTAGTTAAGCTTTATTCTGTGTTTGCAGCTGTTCAAAGTTTCAGCGCGGCTGAATATTAAATAAAGATTGACAGTATGCATTCCTTTATTAGTAAAATTAGACCGGTCGACAATCCAATTTCTACCTGTTTCTAAATCCAGCTCATCTGATCGATTTGACACCAAGTATTTTTTGCCAGTCTCTCCAACCCCTGTAATAATTATCTTCAAATAACTAATTCCAGTGTAGAAATAGACGAATTTCATGAACCTGTCATAGATGCTTGGAATAATTAGTTTACAAGAAATAACCCTAATTTTAGCAGTATACACAGTAACAGTCAACAAGTATCTTACTGTCAATACAGATGAGATCTCTCAGAAGAAGTAAAGTGGTAGTTTATAAAATTAGCTCTTCTGATAAATTAATATCATCCATATCTTCTACTTCTTATGACTTTTAAAGTGTTAGGTGCTGAATTATCAGGAAGTATTAAATTTCCTGATGAGTTTGTATTCAAAGTGATAGATGCCCACATGTATCACCAAAATTCTACCTAGAAGCCTCACGATAAGACGAAATTCTATTTTTTGAAACGAATAATCAGTCTTAGAGAATCGGGGAATATGAAGTTAGGCAATTTGACGACATCACAAATGAAACAAACTGTACAAAATTAAACACTGCTAATGATTACCGTTGAACACTTAATAATCACAACAGAATTATTATACAGGTAACTGTAAAAACGATTCTTATGTTTTGACAGCTGAGATGCTCCGAAAATCCTTGAAGGATGGATATGCACTTGTTCATTCAGATGTAAATGACTGGTTTTATACATATGTATTATTCACCCTGTTCATATCTACTTTCTGTTTCTAAGATCTTTGGTTTTTTCAGACATTCTTCAGGATGTTATTAACTACCTTATGTGTACAATCAAAGGCAGTTAATTCTGATGAGACAGGATCGTATTTCATGAACTCAGTATTACTCTGCAAAATGGACTTGATTAGCACCACTATAGATATATTTCCCATTCAAATATTGAAGTTAATCACTTTGAACTATTGCTGGATAAATAAGATTTATATGATATGCAATGCTATTTCAGATTTTGACAGTTTGAACAAAGTTACCTTAAAAATTGCCTAAAAATGATTTAGATAACAGTTCACATTAGAGATGATTCCAAGTAAGAAGAAATACGATTTTAGTGATTTGAAATCTAATTTAGTCAATAGTGAGTATGTTGTATTTATTTTCCATCTATTTAAGCAGAAAGTATAAGAATTCAGATTATTTAGACTGCAATCCACGTTTCACTCACAGTTTGTAGTATAATGCCGGGAATTTCGAAAAAGGGTTCACTTTAATGACTGAAAGCTAATGTTTTTTTACCACAAGACTCTGGACATTATCTCATACAGAGTTGTTGGTACACAGTACCGGAAGATCCAAAACTAGAATGAAACTGTTATCCAGTGCTTCCCTAGTTAATTTTAGTTCGTAATGAAAACTTCCCATAGAGGAACCGTTTCTAGTTCTTGTATGAAAGTCTCATTCAATGAAAAACAGTATTACAATTTCAAACTGACATTTATATCATAAAAAAACTTTCATTAACTGGCATCATATGGACAAACGCTTTATTGCATAATATTCTAAAACTGAACATAATAAATGTAATAGAGACCACGTAAGCTTGTTATCTTCAGTTTCAAAGATAAGCTAATTAATCGAATACTAGACTACCTTCAGAGTTACGTTTAATAAAACATCGTTTCAAAATATCCTCTCCAAATGCATTTTGAGATCATTTATCAAAGTATTGTGATTCAGTCTTGTGACCTGAATAAGGTTATTGCTAACAACCAATAACTTTTATTATACTCGCTGAAAATTGAATATTAGATAATTTGTTTAAAAGATATCAAGAAATATTTGTAAGCCATCAGTTGACGAACTATCAGAGATATTGACTATTTAATCAGTGACTTTTAAGGCTGCCTTAACAACTGCTGAAATAACCAATAAAAGTTATTTATTTTTATGACAAAACCGCTTTTTCAGAATAAATGAGGAAGCTTTCTTGATTATTTTGGCACTTGATAGAGTGGTCTTTAAATTTTCTAATGTTGAATACAGTCATATAGATGCAGTTCACGAACAAAAGGACCTCGAGTCCAAAGGTCACTTTTTGAAACTACAGAAATTTACTCGATCGACCGTATCTGAGATTTGGTATGATGAAATCCAGTATAATGGGCCAGCATAATGATGTCTTTCTTAACCTTAAACATTATGGAAAAGAGTATCAATGTAATCAAATAAACAAGAAGAAATTATTTATCATCTCATTCTAATTATAGAAGCTAAAGGTTATGACCCTCAACTCACCTGTAGTTATGGCAAACAAACTACTCTGAAAGTAAAGAAATAGCAGTTCCCTTAGAGATAACAGAAACAGTTGCAGTATACCAACACCCTCCTAAAATTCTTGGGTGTATTACGACATACATTCAAATGATGGAAAGGGTTTGTAGCTCGGTGAGGATGGTGGTGGTTTGGTGTTCTTTACTATTTTGTGGAAGTTCAGAGAACACCACACCACCGTTGATAAACATTCAAACATGTAAATGTTCTCTTCATCATCCAGTCACTCGCAAAAATGAATATCAAATAAAATACAAATTCCCCATTTCACATTAATCTGAACTGACCTTTACGGATCCGTTCTGAAAGGTGTTGACGTCGATGCTAGAAAGTCTACCTCCACGTATGGTCTATGTACCTAGCTCTACAGGAGTAGGTGAACTGATATACGTATCTTGAAGTGGCTACCACTGATAATTTGTCCTTTACACACATATTCAACATTATACGACTAATAAAGGTAATTTGCTGAGTGCCTGCATACAATGTTCTATTTACAGCCTTCTTTAGTCTACGTTTAAGTACCTCACCTGCTGCACGTTCAATGAATTCCAAGCTCGAAATTAACTTTTTCTTCTCCACACTGATAGAAGGCTGATAAATAATATTCCGTTGTAGAATTTTGTTTATGAATCTCCTTGGGTACCCGTTCCTGATAATTCTCGATCTAAGGAGCTGAATTTCATCTTTCAAGGTATAGGGAGTAAAAATCTTCCTGACTTGAGAGGAAAGGGAGAAGGTCAAATTTATTTTTCGGCTGATGGTAACCCAACAGTGAAAGTTTTTTATTTGTCCATCCGACGTAGATTTTTGACAAATGGTTTTTTGACCTTCCCATCATCTCTTCTTGTTAACAATACGTCAACGAATGGTATCCTTGAGTGTGAACCTACCTACACTCTAAAGTTGAGGGGGGGAGGAGTAACATAGGAAGTAGCTGAAGTACTTTCTGCAGATCTTAGTTCGTGTCGTTAACAATGAATCTATCATCGAAATGGATTTTAACTGCCTGATAACTAGAGTGAGTATGCTTTTTACCAGGTTGGCCAAAATATACACAAAAGAGTAATTGATGGTGCCTTTGCAGCTGCAACAGGTAAATGAATTCACATAATTCCTGAATGCTTGTCGCTGGTCGTCTGAGAGTTCGTACAATGAATGTGATCTTTGTACTAAGTTTCTATCTAATTAATGCAAAAGAGATCGAATTTCATTGATGTGATTCATTATATGACGTCTGAGTGTTCGTCCGTTTAGGTGTTTGGTGTTGCTGCAAAAGGATTTTCAGAAAGCCTATTATGCAAAATAATTTAGTTCATCAAATTCCAAGTAAAGATTGTGAGGTCAAATGCCCAAGTAAAATTAGTTGACCAGGGTCAATCAGATTAACAGAACACAAAAACTTGACCAAATTCAAAATTACAAACCCTAGCAAGATGGGAATCTAGAGAAAAGCTCATCTATTGTAATGCATGCGATCACATGAAACCAGATAACAGAATGGGATAGAGTGACAGTCCTTAAAACTAAGCGTGGTTGAGTGAGAGGTTGATAACT